CGGATATGTTGACCGGCGAAAAAAGATTTTGTTCATAAAAATGTCCGTGGTAAAATGTTTAGAACACACAAGCAGAAATCTGCCGGAGTCTTCTGGCACATGTCCCTTGAAAATGAAGTCTAGCCACAGATTCTTGTCTTTTTCCAGGGATGGCATTGCATGCAGTCCCTTGTCCCGATTCTTGCAGCCAACAACAGCACAACGTTTAACTCCCTTAGACATCCTGGCAAGAGCAGGCAAAAACACAGATGTGACTGGGGGAGATTTAGCTTTCCGACAGCCTATATGCGAATGAGCGGTTGGGCAATGGCCGTGGCCCAACCTCTCATCCCCCTGATCGGTGGAGAGTTGCCCATATAGGCGGAGCACCCCTTTTCTGACGTCAGAGAAGTTCAAATCTGTGGCCCAATCCCAATCCCAAACCGCCCCTTACACCCTACCCCTACACCCTACCCCTACACACTACCCCTCCGTTTGCGCGGAGGGTCCGCCACATTAAGTGCTGTTCCAAACCAACGAGTGTGGAGCGGGGTGGAGGGGGAGTGGGCTATCAAGCCCTCAAACAGCGAGTCTGCAGCGGTGCTGACTTGAGACCGGTCTCTACCTGACTGATGCTGATTTGAAACCGTTGTTACATACAGTTACGGCATTTCCTGTTTCTGCCGGAGAGAGGGGAGTTTGTCCCAAAGCTTGCCGCTGTATTTACTCCCTCCATCTGACAGGAGGGAGCCTCGTTGAGCTGCGAGTGTGGCTACAGACGGAGTTCACTCCGTCACGGAGGGGTAGGGTCGAGGGAGTGGTTTGGGATTGGGCCTGGATCAGCTCCGTTGCAGCCCCGTTTTTAGAGATTTGGGTATGGAGGAAAAGAGAGAGGGTTGTGTTTTCTGACACTTGGTGAGTTCCCTGACACACCGGGGACACATATTCATGTATAAAAGACGTACAAAAGTGCATTTTGCATGATAGGTCCCCTTTAAGTTTGATTTTGTGTAAATCAGGTCAATTAACCATATATTTCAAAATAGAAGGGTAAAACTTGTTTTAAGTCAGAATATGGCTTGCTTAAAATGTGTAACACAGACTATTTACACCAGGGGTGTCCAAACTACGGCTTGGGGTCCAAATGCGGCCCGCGGACAATTTTGAATCGGCCCTCAGCAAATTAAAAGAATATAATGGAATATGGCCCACAAATGAAACTTGTGCTCGTCTTATATTGTACTTCTTAAATATAAATGCAAAAATATATTACACAGTATTCATGTTCAAAAGAGCTCAATGTTGCCCAAAGTGATTTACATAACAAGCTTGAAATACATCCTTCCTATTTCTCCTTATTATAATCAATCTGAGGCTTCTGTTTTAAGGGATGAGCTACCAACACAATAATTAAACTAAGGCTTTAAAAATATATGTTGTCTTTTTTTTATTGCAGTTTCTCTTTAGAATTATATTGGGTCAGTGTCAAATTTCAAGATAAAAATGTCAAGGTCCCATGTCATGCTTTTCTGGTTATTACCCGTCCCCTTGTGTTATGAAGGTTTGTATGCATATAAACGGTCTGCAGAGTCACAAACCCTCAGAGTACACCCTGTAGCGAGTAAAACTCTAACACAGAAAAGACCTGTCTATGCTGCCCCTGAACGCCTCGTTGGAGATTTCTTTTTCCATTGTTTTCTTCTTATATAGTGTAGTAAGTACAGTGACGTATTGGGTATAGTGACGTAACTTCCTCACACACACACACACTCAATCTTTTCTCAGCTGCAGCTCCGCAGATTTCTCAGCCTGAACTCAGCCTGAACTCAGCCTGAGACGGCGAGACGCGGCGGCCGGTGGGGCTCGGCCTGGGCTCGTTCTCAGCACACACGCAGACTCACAGCCAGGCTGCAGGTGTGTGTGTGTGTGTGTGTGTGTGCTCGGGCTGGGTTCATGCTGGGTTTTGCTGTGTCTCGCTGTCTCGCAGATCCCCCGCAGCAAGCCAGCTCACACTGTCCGCTCCTCACAGCAGCGAGCCCCGCAACGTCCCGCCAACATGGCACCCAGACCCCACGCAGCATTCTCATCTGTTTGTCATTACTGGTGTCATTTTCTGGTTGCTAACAAACGTCATTGTAACACAAACACTGATGTTCCGCTGTAACGGTGGTGGACTCATCAGAACAGAGTGGGCGAGCTGACCAATCAGAGCACACTGGGCTCATAGGGAGGGGGGGTCAGGAGCTCCAACAAGCCATTTAGGACAGAGTGTGAATACACATACTATACAGAGATGCTGTATGAGAAACCAATGTGAGTTTGGAAAATTGCACATTATAAATCTATTCTAGTATACCTCAACAATGGAATTATGATCAGTAGAAATGGCCATGACATGGGACCTTTAAAACATGAGTTATTAAAACTAAGTAGGCAAATTTACTTCCAAAATAAAGAGACAGTGGCTCGTCAACAGTGCCTAAATCTTTATTTTTCAGTAAGCTACATTTTTTTCTCCAAATTAGACAGTTTTACATCATGACACAGAGTAACTTAAATTATCTATAGCTGACATGTACGCTTGATTCCAGTCTCGATGGAAGAAAAGACCAAAAAACATAACGAAAAAGAAAAGAAAGAAAAGAAAAAGCCCTCTTGAACGCAACCTCCGTTTCCACGTCTGTTTGAGGTGTCGTTAGGCAAAATATTATTCGTCCAAAGTCATCGATTGTCCACAGCCGTTAGCATGGTGTTAATGAGTTAAACCACAGTGCGTTGATAAAGAGAAACCAGTCGGTCGGTTGGTTGGTGCGCATCACGAGATATTACATTTTTGAGATGCAACCCCCCCAAAAAAAATGGCACTGTCAAAAAAACAGACGAACAGGAAGGAAGGAGGAGAAATGATATGAGGCTCCGAGAAGAAGTCCAACGAGAGGAAGGAAATCCTCGAAAACGCCCGCCAACAGGAGCGTTTGTTATAATGCCGGTGAAGAACGTGCAGAACTGGAGACGTCCCTTTGGGTACCAACGAGTCTGAAAAGAGTCACCTTTGCATGGGTTTGGATTTCTGTGGGTACACTTATTTATTCCACACATGCACACATTCACAGTTCCCAGTTCATATGCATTTAACTCCACAAAAAAGTTCGAGGTATAACGCACGGGGGGAATCTGCTCCGACAGTCAGCGGTGTCACATTTCTCCAGATGTGAGAAGTCTTTGATGGACTTTCAGGAACGAACAAAAAAAAAAGCCAGAGATGGCAAGCGATCAGCTATGTACAGGTTAAACTGCCCAGGACAAAAAAACAACAACAGTTGAATAAATGGCACAGTTATTGGTTTATCTTTGCCACAAAATGCAGTCCACATGTGGTCAAATGGTTTCAAACAGACACTTCAATCTGTATGTGCCAGACATGTCGGTCTGTGTAAAACAAAAAACTGTGATTCCAGTTGAGCTTCCGTCTCCAAACTCGCCCCCATAACACAAAACAGAAACATTATTTGTACATTTATTTCTCAGGAGAGGAAGCTGAGGAACAGGAAACAGATCAATCAGAAGGAAAAAACGACTTTCTGGATGTTTCGTCTAGTAGCTACATCGACACACGGGCGTGAACTTAAGCCATCCTTGTCGTGACGCCAAAAAATCTCCCAACATTTCACGTTATTTCCCCAAATAAGTGTCTTTTTTCTGAAATGAGTCACCAAAAATGTACAATCCACAGGTCCAAATGCTTGTCGTCACGTTGGCAGGAAGCTAACCACCTCGAGTGCTACAAGCTAAATGTCTGAAATGTGCTTGAAGTGTGCTTCATTTTGATATCGTTCATTACATCACGTCACATCGAAGCGTGTGAATTAAAACAGACGACAAAACTGGGACGTGTCCATCAGGCATCGCTCTTTTAAAAAGAAAAAAGATGGCTAGAAGAGGTGAAGCTCGTAGCGAAGTTTAATGTTAAATCAGTGCCGATGCTTCTTATATTTAGAAAGAAAGCTCTGCTGTTTTACTTCTATAGATTTCTGATTTTGTCATGGAGTGTTCTCCTTTTATCAGTCTGCAAAGCTAACAAGTTTCTGTCCATATTCTAAGAGAAACAAGCAACAACTATCCGTGAAAACCAACCAGAACCACCATTGAGAATTTAGTTTGTTAGAAAGAAAAACAACCAATCAGTAAAGAAACACAAACAATTTCCCCCGATCTGAATTGTGTTATCGCCAAAAACTAGATAGCATAGGTACATAACTAGGACTCAGCCCAATTTCTGTAAACCTGGGTCAGTCCAACTTCTGAAAAAACCTAAAATATAAAACTTAAAATTCACTAACGTACAACAACTACATCTCCCATGACCCTTACCTAATAATGCATACAAAGTCTGGTCTAATGTCAAAAGTTACTGATTTGATTACAATTTTTGACTGTGATCCAACGTTCTATACCAATATTTGAACGATAAGCACAGGATGTGTCAGGATGTGGTTAGCCTAGCTTAGCATAAACACTGGTCGCATATGGCAACAGCTAGCGTGGTTCTGTCCAATCTGTTTACAAGCAAATCTAAAGCTCACAAATTAACTTAATCCATCTTGGTTTTTTTAAGATTACTGTTTTCTGCCTATGTTCTAAGCTAACTGTTTTCTGCCTATGTTCTAAGCTAACTGTTTTCTGCCTATGTTCTAAGCTAACTATTTTCTGTCTATGTCATGAGCCAACTGTTTTTTTGTCTGTTTTCCATCCGTGATAAGCTAAGCTAACTGTTTTCTGTCCATGTGCTAAACTAAGCTAACTGTTTTCTGTCTGTGTGCTAAGCTAACTGTTTTCTATCCATGTGATAAGCTAAGCTAACTGTTTTCTGTCCATGTGCTAAGCTAACTGTTTTCTGTCTGTGTGCTAAGCTAACTGTTTTCTGTCTATGTGATAAGCTAACTTTTTTCTGTCTGTTTTCTATCCATGTGATAAGCTAAGCTAACTGTTTTCTGTCTGTGTGCTAAGCTAACTGTTTTCTGTCTATGTGATAAGCTAACTGTTTTCTGTCTTTGTGCTAAGCTCACTGTGTTCCCTCTATTTGCTAAGCTAACAGTTTTCTGTCTATGTGCTAAGCTAAGCTAACACATCCCGCCCCAAGTGTTATTGATCTTTTTTTCCCCTAATACATTTTACAATTATATTTCCCAAATGTTTTACCTACTCCTTCAATGACCAAAACCCCCAAATGTTACCACCAAGAACAGTAAAAACAAACACTCATTAATCTTTGACTATGGCCAGAAAAACCACAAAATAAATGTTAGCAGAGGCAGAACTTCAGCTCTCTATTGTATTAATAGATATTTTCGAGTCATGCTGCCCACATGTGGACGCAATGCTGATTATAAACTGTGGTATGAGCGTGTCATAATCATAGATATTCAGTATTAGTGTAGTGTTAATACTAGCCTTATTAATCTTCTTGGTATTAGGATATTTAGAGATGTCAGAAATACTTTGCTGCACAGTGACGCCTAAAAATCTGACATGTAGTGCTTTTTTTTTTTTCTTCAGTAATCAAACTTCTAGATTATTGTGGTTAAAAAAAAAATTCCAGCGTAAAAGAAAAAGGAAGCCAGAGCTTTTTAAAAAAATGAAACGAGAGGATGTTGGTGGACACGCAGATTTGTAAGGGTTCATTAATAATGCTGTCAGTACCACAGGCTCTCCAATTAGTGCACAGTGAGGAGGGGGGTATACAAAAATAATGGAATGAAAGACAACAAAAAAATGTACAATCAGACGAGCTGCCCACCCTGCAGAGAGGAGCAGAATTTAAACTCCGACACCCAAACTAAAAATAAAAAAAGCACAATATTACGTTTTTTTTTTTTTGTATATCCTACATCCAGCTCGATAGCGACATTACGAGATCAATATATTTTTTTATAATCATTTTTAAGGTACCTCTTATATTTTTCTGAGTATTTACAACTGTACAAGCAAAGCACACACTTCAAAGTGCACACATTTAATACAGTATTGACTAGTTTTGCATTTACAAGGTTTTATGTTTTTTTTCCCCCTCAAAAAAAAAAAGGACACTCGTAAATTTTACAAAAACAAAAAAGGGTAAAAATAAAATGCTGCTCGATTTGTCCTCTCTTTCTTTCTCTTTCTCTTTCTCTCTCAGTAAGACTTGTGACGTCTAAATATTTTTCCACGTGTCACGCTTTGTTAACATTTGGGGGATTTTTTTTGTGTGAAAAGAAATAAACTCTATGCTTGTCTTGTATAAAAGTTAAGGCAAAGTCATTTTTCAAGTTTAAATAAAATTCAAGTTTCTCAAACACTGGATGGACACTTCCATTTTTTTTTCTTTTTCTTTTTACATTTTGCGTTTAAATAGAGATCTCAACGCATCCCTATGTATTCTCATCTCCCTAAAACAAAAAACGTAATGATATTTCTCATGGAATAAACAGCATTGGTTTATAAATACGTGGATATGGTGCATTTTGATTTATTTTTAACCGTTTCCACTGATGAGAGAAAAAAACAAAACCCATCCAAGTGCATCTCAGTCCTTCAAAAAGAAAAATCCCAAAAATATATCTATTTTTTTTTAAACAAACTCAAGAACTTTACGTCCAAATCAAAAGCAGCTATGAGCAGGCTTTTTCTAACGAAGCCCTCCTCAGATGGGCTGTTTTCTCTTAGTGGGATTACCCAGAATGCTTCTTGTTGCAGGAAGACTTTAGCGAGACATGCAAGGTCTCACATCGTGTGTTTGTTTCCCTAAAAAACAGATATTGTGTATAGTACAGTGTTTTTTTTTTGTATGGTTGTTTTGCATCTGTGATAACTTAAGAAGAGATTAAATTTGAGCACTCAAGGGAGGAAACTCTCTTTAAGTCTGTCACGCTCCAAAAAAAACATACTTTTAACGTCTCACAATTGCAGTTTTATGAATCTGATGTAAATTCAAAACTCCTTTTTACCATTTCGCCAGCCAATTCCATTTTTAGACTACAGTAAAACATGCAAGACTTGGTTGGTCTTCTGCCAGAGTGGCTGCTACAGTAGACAGAGCTCCCAACCAAACCTTCAATTTAACACAAGTTTCCTCCCTGAATCTGAATCCTTGCTACTTCACTCTGCAGAGGGATATATCAGCTTCAAAATCATCCGAAATGCTGCTCGATTAAGTCGCATTGAGCTTAAATGTACGTGGTAGCACATTCTGTGAGCTCAAAGTGAGAAAAAAAGTGTATTTCTCTTCACATTTTTGCTTCAAATCCAACTGCTTTTCTCCCCAAGAGTGAAGCAGGAAGAAAATCCGTGGTGCTTTTCGGTTAATCTTTTCCACACTTTTTTTTTATTTGAAAGAAAACTCAGGATAAATCAAAGTGTGCACACTTGAAAATAGAAGACAAGGGAGCATGCTGACAGAAAAACCAACGAGCGGTGAAGACTCGACGCTGAGGAAGACGAGGGAACATCTCCACCCCGAGGACGACATTTTACACGACTCAGATTTCCCTGCTGTAAAACCCACCTGCTCTTTTCTGTTCTCTTAAATGTTTAAATTTGAGTTCAACAACGTTCACATGAGCCCCGACGGGACTCCCAACTAAATCCCTTTCACACTTCAACATGGCAAACTACATTCCGCCCCAAAAAACTCATTTTACCTTTTTTTAATAAGTAAAACTTTCAATCCAACCGTCTCACTTTTCCGTAATTTTACAAGCAATGAAAATCCTCATTGATGAGCCAAAATCCAAAACCACTGCATGAACTCCTTCAGTTTGAAAAAAAATCTATATAAAGCATCCGTAAAGCGAGATAAATCTGTAAAGTCATGTGACGCTGCCCCATCCTTCACCACAGTGTTCAACAGGCGTCCACAAGGCACAACAACACAAACGAAAACAAGGCGATTGCGTCCACAGAGATGAATTTTCTTTCTCTTCCCTTGACGTTCAGGATCAATTCCCTTTTTTCTCTCTCTTCACTTGTCTAATAATGCATTTGCCTGCGAGTCTGAGGAAAAAAGACGCCATAACAGTGCAATTAAAGTTCTGTCGATACATTTAAATCAAGTATTTTGTACACACAATATCAGATGAGCTGCTGTAACAGGTTCCAGGATTCGACGTCTAGCACCATATCTAGAAGAAAACACGTGAAGTTTCCCACTCGGCTTGCTAAACTCCAGCAGGGAACTCACTTTCTGTCATGTTTCTCAATCAATAACCAATTTCCTTCGTCCTAATTGCAGCTCACGAGTGTTTCCTCACCTCCAGAGCTGTTTTAATCCTCACAACTGGACTTTAAATGTGTCAGCCCTGCCTTTTTCCTTTGACAGTATGTGCCTGATTCCACAGTTTTAAATAGGAAATGAGAAGAGCAGTCGACAAAGCTTGCTCGCTTTTTCCCTAAAAAATGCAATGCCAGGAATATAATCACACACGCGACGGACACTTTTCAGCCAATTTGCGCCAATGCCTAATTTATATATTCAAGCTTGGTTGCAGATATCAACATGCCCTTCTTGTCTGACGCTTAAAAAAAACAAAAAACAGCACTGATATCACATCACGGCCGTTGATACAAGCTACAGCTAGCTAGTTAGCAGTGTTAGCAAACAGTAAAAACAACAACACAGCAGATGGAGGTGATTCTTTACAGAGATGTGAGGAAGAAAAGTGACACCCAGCGACAATAACCAGGAGTGACTGTACCGATAGTTCACAGGAAAAGTTGGAGAAAAAAAACCATGTTTTGTTAATAATTCTGCAAAATAAATCCAGTTTGAGGCGGAAAAAAAGATCAGAGTCTTGTTGTGATTTAAGTCTTGCATACGGATGGGAGTATGTAATAAAAAAACGGCTAATTATGACCCATAATTAAGCTACATAAAGTCGCACAACAGTGCCCCTCGACATGCAAACAAACCCCTCCCTCTGCTCACTCTTTCCCCATCATCCACTGGGGGCGGGGGCAAACTTCCCACAATGCCCTGCTGCTGCTGCTGCTGCTGCTTTCTTTGCACACAAGACTTTTTAAATGTTTAAATCCCACAAGGCCTTTTGGACTAATGAAAAAAAAGACATGTTTCAGTGTTGTCTGTGCCCGGGGTATAGGCAAAACTGAAAAAAAAAAAAAAAAAGGAAGCAAATAAATAGAATAAAAAGAATGAAAAGGTGCTCTACATTGCACAGTAAAGTGCTTTTTGTCTGCAAGCCCTGATCCAGAAGAGAAGGCGTCCCCTATCCATGTGACTGATGCTGATTCTGGGATATAAGCATTGAGTAGCCCTGACTTATATTTCCGTTTTTTTTTTCTTTTTTTTCTACTGCGGGGATTTGGGCGGGGTTTGGTGGGTTTCTCTGTTTGGGGTTTTCCCGATGTGGGGGGGCGGGGAGGCCCAGCGTCCAGCCGGCCTCCGAGCCTCCCTCTGGTGTCTCCCCGGGGTGAGGGGTTTGGAGGAAGAGGAGGAAGAGGAGGAGGAAGAGGAGGAAGGGGGGTATGTCTCTCTGGTTTTGGCCTCTGATGCGTCACTGGGGCACTTCCTGTCCTCGCCACCGGGGGCAGCGCAGCCTGGCTTTGCTTCTTTCGGGGTCCCAAGCTGCTGCGATGAAGACGAGGAGTCCTTCGCCCGCTGACAGATCTCAGCGTAGGAGGGCTTCCTCAACTCCTGCAGGGAAACAACGAGAAGAGTCAGGAAATAATCTCATGTCTAATGATGACACAAAATACGCTTTCACACCAAGTACTTTGCCGCACTTAGTTCCCAGCACTTAGTTCCCAGCACTTAGTTCCCCCATGGAACTAAAGAGCCGATCGCGTTCACACCGGAATAAGTCCCTGAGGGAAGATTACGCAAATGAAGCCGCTGACGTCACTTCTTCTTCTTCTGCTGCTTTGGGTTTACTGGCAGGCCGCAAACCACTTCACGGCGTATACTGCCACCCGAAGTCCCCGGCCGGAAGTCCCCGGAGTTGGGGACTGGCTTCAGTAGAAGCCTTCAGAGTAAATCGCCAGAACGCCGACACCTCCACCGCTCCCATGTTTTCTTTTGTGTTGCCATAAGTTAGTCTCTCTCCGTTGGTGCGCGGGGCTAATGCTAATGCTAATAATGCTAATGCCAGCAAATACAATGGCGGCTTCAAAAAACGTTCCCGAGTTTTACGGGTGTGGTTTGCAATTCGCCCAGCCAATCAGAAATTTGAACTTTTTTCTCCCCAGGATAGTCCCACCTCTCTAGCAGGCACTAAAAAGGGGGTAAAAGTTCTCATGAACTAAGTTCTCTTTTTGGTGTGAACGCAAAATCCCAGGAACTATCGGAACTAAACGGGAAAAGTACGGAGAAAAGTACTCCGGTGTGAAAGTGCCTAATGAGCGTCAATACATCTGTGAAGTCATGTGACGTTCAGGATCAATTCCCTTTTTTCTCTTCACTTTACTCTAATAATGCATTTGCCTGCGAGTCTGACGGAAGAAAACACCATAACAGTTCTGTCCCAACGGTTCGTGTTCATGTGACAAATGCCGTCAATTCTGTACCTTGAAAATGAAAATGTATTGGACTTTTTTGACAGCATCCCCTTCCCCAAACCACCGACATATTGAGATGGCTGCTACAATGACTGTGCTAAATAAAATATAAATTACATTGAGTAACTCAAATGTGAGTTCATCAAACCTTCAGTTGGTGCATCGACACCACGGTATCTAAATGTGCTTTTCCTCACATTATATTCACCTATTCTTCATTTAAAATGCCCTTTGGGGGGTTTCTGTTCCTCCCACAGACATCTGCAGTCTCCTTCCTATCCTCCTGTTAACAGCTGCTCTTTGAGTTTTACTGCAGAGCTAAAACCTAAAGCCAAGGGGAATATTCACCACGGTTTCTTTCTCCTAACCAAAGCACTTCTTTAAGAAAAGGCACCTTTTCCTCAGGAATCCTTATGGGAGGAGAGGTAAGTGCGATCAATTGGAAATAATAAGAAAAACTTTCCTTGCGAGTTCATCTCTCGGACCGATACCTTTTTAGACATTTTATTTTTTCCCGCAACAGAGGATTTCATCAAAATCAATGCAGCAGAATTAAGCTGCGATTAATTCCCCGTGTTTGTCCGTGCTTAGATTGATTTGTCTGAGCATTAAAAAAAAGGGACTAAAAATAAGGTGTTGGGAAAATACTGTACACATGATAACAAAGGTATCCCAACTGTAGCTGTGTGCATGACAGGATGTATGATTACCTAGAAGAGCATCAGGACTGTTTTAGGCATATGATAACTATTAGGGGTGTTGAAAATAATCGTTTCTACGATGCATTGCGATGCGGACGTGGACGATTCGGTATCGATGCAGTGACGGAAGATAACCGATTATAGCGTAGTAATTGCAGTTGCTTCCTGATTTTCCAGCCACGGCTTTACTATAACGTTTTCTTTTCTGTCACTTTAATATCAAATCGGTCGGTGACGCAGAGATCAGGGAACAGACGTGACAGCAGCACAGCGACACCAAACACGGAGCAGTCTTATCCAACAACACAAGAACACCAGTCCAGAACCAACAGCAGAAGGACCCGCTCTGAATCACTCCGTGTCGCTGCGGCTCAGAGACACAAGGATTTATGTTTTTCAAAAATAATCGCGTTACAATCATGTCAGGTTTTTGGTGGATTTAATTATGTCTTGGATTGCAGAGTATGAATGTCCTCTAGCAATTTTCAGACGATATATATACGTGTGTAAAGTTTGTGAAGGCAGGAGGAAAAAAGCTTCCGCGATCACCGTCTCCTCTCCGTTCCTCCAAGCCCCGCCCCCTCCCTGAAAATAATGAGTGACAGGCTGATAGTGACCCGATAGAAACTTTATTATTCACTTAATCACTGATTGAGATATAATGAAGCTAACTTAATCTCATACATTCATGGGATTTATGTAACAGTAAGACAGAGAATGTAAGTGTGCACCCACATGCAGTATTTTGGTTTGTATATGCTGTTGTAAATACTCCTGTTGTCTGCTGTGTTCAGACTTAAGTCCTGTGTGTGATGCCACATTCAGGACATTCAGTGTCCTTTCTTTAACAGAAGACCGTAGCTAGAAGCTGCAGCTAGACTGCAGAAGCATTAGTTTTTTGTTTTTGAGGATGGAACAACTTCACACACAGATATAGGGAGGCTAGACCTATACAATTAATTTATTTTGGTTTATAAATTAATGTCAAGACATTTATGTTATTGATTTCTGAAGCACTTTCTAAATAATAAAAAGAGAGTTCATATGTATTTACTGCATGTATGCATTGATGAAAAAGAAGCCATGTGCAGTAATATAGAAAATTGAGGATGCAACGCATTGGTATGAATCGTGATGCATCGGGATATCGAATTGAATCGAATCGTTGACAGGATAATAGTAATCGAATCGAATCGTGAGACCAGTGAAGATGCACAGCCCTAATAGCTATGTGATTAACATGATGATTCAGCCTCTATGGAGATAGACATATGACGAGCATGATCATTTCTGACGTGGAGCTAATCTGAAGTAAACATTGAATACTGCTTTATATTCCTCCATCTTGTGACTGTGTAACTCCCTCTCTTGGATATCAGCATGTGAAGGACACTGTTCAGGAACTAGTTGATGCTCTGTATGTGATGACTACTTCCATTCTGGAGAGGATCAGAAATACATGGATCCTGAGATTGAAGCTCAAGCTGGGGACCAGTGAGATTTTTCTAACAGAAGGTAAAGAAAGGAATCAATACTCACTGTTGCAGCACCGTTGACTTGCACTGATTTGCTGGCATTGGACAGCGTGCCGGTAACTCGCTCTACGGACAGCTGCAGCTCCTTCGGTTTCACCTCCGTCACCTTCACCTCCCTGAAATAAAAGCAAATGAGGGAGAAGAGACATTTAAAAAAGGCAGAGAAAATGAACAGGAACTCAATGCGAGCAGCCAGACTGACTCATACGATTACAATGATCATAAACACCTAATTAAAACCACACGTTTTCAGTCAAATCTGACGTTTTATAAACCTTTCCTTGTATTTAAATTGTTGTTATTATTTGTATCTTACTGTAAATGTAAGTTATAGAGGAAGGGTGATGGAAATGGTGCGGTACGATAACTAAGTGAGCAGATGGTAGTTATGGGTACTTTTTACTAAGTACATTTCGAAGCCCTCTTTACTTTTACTTGAGTATAGAAGTTTAGTCAGTACTTCTACCAGAGTATTTTTAAACAAGAGTATCTGTACTTCTACTTGAGTAAAGGATGCATGTACTTTTGCCATCTCTGTATATAGGACATAGAACAAATAAAATAGTGCCAGAGGATGTCTCACTACTTAAATGTGACGTGTTTAAACCACTAAGTAAATAAACTCACCTGCTAGCTACAACAGTGAATAATGATCTACTTACAGACCCTGCGCTACAGTTCAGATTCAGAGCTGTGTGTTCTTACGCTGCAGGGAGGGAGGGGGGCGGGGCTTAGCGGCGGCCCGGTGGCGGCGGTCAAGGTCGAGGCCGGGGTCAATGTCGAGGTCGGGGGGGTCGGCGACGGCTGGAAGCTCGAAGGCTTCGGAGAGGACGAGGAGCGAAGAGGCTCTTTTGGACCCGCTGGAGACAGAACTGATCCAGAACTGGACTCTGCACTTACATTCTGCAGAAAACAACAACAACAACAACACAGGATGTTAATGTGAAATAAAGCAAGATGAAGTTATCGGCATTTCCTCTCTGTAGACCTTTCCACTTTATCTAATTCCCCTCCTCGACTCCCCTCCTCGACTCCCCTCCTCGACTCCTATCCTCGTGTCTTAGACCCGCCCACAGGAGATGCGAGCGGAGGAGCCGAGGAGGGGAACCGAGGAGAGAGGAGGGGAAGCAGCAGGCGTTTAAAATGACCGCTCAGAGGAGAGGAGTTCTCATTTCTCTAAAGAGACGTCCATTAATGATGACAGGAGGCACAGCAGCCCTCTGTCTGATGGACTGATGTGTTCATGACGACTTATATATTTACTTTGAATTCATTCACAGTGCGGTATAATGAGACAATAACAGGCTACAGATGCGGACACACACACACACATATATTTATATAAATATTTACAATTTCAGAATCAAAGTACGAGAGCACTCTCATAATAACGTAACACTATCAGAAACTGGATATTGGAGTTAATCCCTACAGCGTGTAATATATTGGAAAGCCTCAGTTTCAGTCCTTACCCGCTCCTTAGGATGTATTTATTAGTGTAAGAAACTCTACTTTACTTAAGCCACAATATGTGCTGTACTGAGAAGCACAGAAGACAACAGTGACATTGAGGGTATCTCTACAGAATGTCATATATAAAAGCCTCAGTTTCAGTGCTTACCCGCTCCTTAACGTTTCCGATAACGACGCTGCTGGCCAGCCGGTTGTCGAACACTTCTTCTGTGGTTTTCAGCTGCCCGGCGGCTCCGGGGAGAGGAGGGAAACTGGAGAGACCCAGCTCGAAACTCGGAGACGGAGGTTTTGGGGGGGGAGGCGGCGACTGGGGCGTCACTCTCTACACAACGGCAACAAATAATCATAAGAACAACACATTTCATGAACTTTTAACTGATTTCTAGTAACTGCACACTATTTTATTTATTTTTTAGCATTATTTTGTAATCTGCCATGTGTCTAATGTTGGGGAATGTTCGGTTGTGTTTGTGTAATGTGATAAATGTTAAAAAAATAATAATCAGTAAATACACGTTTAACCCTTAGATGCACGAGTGACTACACTCTTCCACAAGTGGGTCAAAAAGGACCCGTATTAGAATAATATGTGTTTTTATGCCATTTTTGTTAAGAAAAATCACTTGTATAATATTTAGTATTATATTTTGGTTCACATTAGAAATATTTTATATTTACATTTTCACTATTTATAATTTCTTTTTTACATTTAGAAAAAAAACGTTTTGAACATATTGATGCAAAGATCTCCGCTATTCTGAGACCCTCACAGTATTCCAGTCCCTTTTCAAAACTCATCTCTTCTCCTCTTGTCTACTCATAGCTACTCATTTCTTAAAATGTACATTTAAAATTTGAATGGCATGATATCTATCTCCTTTCTGCTGTAACAATGTACATTTCCTAATAAAGGTACTCTGATCATTTAAACTACTATGCTTTTTATTTATTTGTATTTATTTCGAACGTGTAAATCAATAACACATTCATAATATTAATAATAATGAAACAAGAGAATGATGATACTGTACAAACATAAGCAGTATCAAATTGATAAACAAAAATATTATTGACTTACAAATTATATATAAACAAATTATCTACCCTTCTCCCAAAAACTAAATTAACATTTTTTTCCCCTCATGATTTCAGAACAGGATGCAGTTGATCCTGCTTTCTTTCCATTAGTCTAGACCAGTGCTTCTCAAAGTGTGGCCCGTGAGCGCCCCCTAGTGGTCCGTGAGTATATTGGTAAAATTTCACATTTGAAATAAATCAATTAATTTAAGCAGGGTTCATACACTTTCTCACCAATGATTTTCAATGACTTCTCCATGACTTTTACCTAATTTTCCATGACCAAAAAAAATTACTCTTTCTCAGCGGTACCACTGAAAATGGTTTATTTGAACATGGAACAGGAAAATAAGGTCTGCATATGAAACATGTTGTGCCTGTCTAAAACAAATCCAATAGTTGGCTTACTAGCTCCTACACGCTAAGGCAACTAAAATCTCTCACCAGCAAAACACCTTGTCAGTTAAATGCCATTTTACGTTACAGTATTTATTATCATTATAGTATTACTATTTCGGCGATTAGATCAAATATATATTATATTTGATGCAACTTTAGTTACATTTCCATGACTTTTCCAAAACTTTGGGAAAAATATTGTTTTCCATAACTTTTCCAGGGCCTGGCATTAGCATTTTGAATTTCCATGACTTTTCCAGGTTTTTAATGACCGTAAGAACCCTGTTTAAGTTTTCCGCACTCTCGCGGGAATATCTCCGCAATGGAGCGAGCTTAAGTTTCACTTTCGATTGCATGATATAGCCCAGCGCAACACCTTCGTCACACATGTTGCCACTTGTTTGTACCAGTTTCAGGCGATTTGTAATCTGTTCTAGAAAAACGATGTGTTTTTCGATATTTGTGGAGTTAGGTGGTCCGCGAGTGTTTTTTTACTAAAGTTTGAGAAACATTAGTCTAGACGTAGAAAGAAAAGCTTGATTCACATCAAAGATGAAGAAAAAGGTACTTACTGTAAACTTTTCGTCCCTCTTTTTCCTGGAAGTAGAAAACATTGTTCCTTTAAAAAACACTTCAATTTACAAACAAACATCCAGCCTGACTAATGCCTTGCCTTCACCCTGCACAGTGTGAGAAGTAAACGTATCTGCAGCACAGTGAAGACTGACAAAAGAAGACATTGGGTGTTTCTCAATGTAAAGGAAGGATGCTCCAGAGCCACTATTTCAAGGATGCTACGTCATCGAGTGCCGCCGAAGGACTGTTCCAATGTCCAGCATGACTTTATTTTCGATTCACACCATAAAATAATGTGTAAATGCCTCAGGAAGGTGTTGCTAAGCAGATTACGTTGGTGCGTTATGTCTGAACGTTTTCTTTGACTGACTTAGGAATTGAATTGTTTTTAAGCCTAATAAAACAAATCGAAATACAGATGTTTTTTGGGTCCGAGACAAAAAAAGGTTTTCACATTTGATCACAAGTCCCTTATGGTAATAATTACACAGTAACTTTCAGAATCTCTTTACACAGAGGGGACACATGTTGATGTAGAAGAGACATGAAGAAGAGGGGACACATGTTGATGAAGAGACATGAAGAAGAGGGGACACATGTTTATGTAGAAGAGACATGAAGAAGAGGGGACACATGTTGATGTAGAAGAGACATGAAGAAGAGGGGACACATGTTGATGTAGAAGAGACATGAAGAAGAGGGGACACATGGTGATGTAGAAGAGACATGAAGAAGAGGGGACACATGTTGATGTAGAAGAGACATGAAGAAGAAGGGACACCTAGTTATGTATAAAAGACGTGAAAAAGTGGATTTTGCACAATAGGTGACCTTTAAAATGCCTCAAAGGTAGTATTTTAGCTTTGTATCCTACCTTCCTCTCCCGATGCCCAGGGAGTATTCAGGGGTGGGGGGCTCCGTCACCCTGCCGGTGCCGGCGGTGTCCCTGCGGGGGAAGGAGCTGCTGGAGGGCACCCGGGTCCTGGGCTGAGTGGAGGGGGGGGGACGGGCGGGGGGGCTGCTGCGGACCCCGTTCAGACGCTCGCTGGGGAAGCTGGGAAATAACCCTGGGTTGTCCAGAAGCCCGGCGCTGCGATCTGCCGTCGGGAGGGAAGGCCTCAAGTGAGGTTTACTGTGACTCCTGAGGGAGGGAAGAACAAGAAGACGTACTTTATTATTTATTTCCTGAGGGAGGCAGGTGTCTTGACAAATTATCATATATTCATTTAAAACAGTCATATTTGGTATGGGTTTCTGTGTTTGCTGTATTTTGGAGTGTTTGTTATATGTGAAAAGTCTATACAAACATTTGAATATTGACTGTTATTACACCTGTCCCTCACTATGTCCATTATGCCTCTGTTACGAAACATCCCTTCTGTTATTGTATATCCCCTTCAATACTCCCCATACTACTTAATATGTGTAGTCCTCCCCCCTATTAATGTTTTTGATATCAGTGTACCAACCTGTTCCTGGGAGAATAGTGTCTGACGGTGAGAGGAGACGTCGTGGGTTTGAAACCGTGTGATGTGGTGAATCCATTGATGAACTGGTTGTTGTGAAATGGTGCAACCTGGAAAACACAACACAAGGTTGAAAATGAAAAGAAGTGAAAATTACAATTAAAATGAAAAAATACAAAAAATAAAAGTCACTGGTACAATTTAGATTACGTCTAAAATTAAAATTAAAATATAGATTCAACTTAAAAAAGGAAGAAAAATATACAAATAAACAATATGTTTATATAGACCTATTAAGTCGAAGTAAAATGTTAATTTAAATACATTAAATGTAAGGCAAGTTTATTTATAGAGCACCTTTCAGCACACGGCAACCCAAAGTGCTTTACAGTGGAAGCACATTATAAAAAAGGCATTTAAAAACAGGCATTTAAAAAGCAAAGATAATCAAATCAACACAAGTATAAAATGCATGGATAAAAAGCCATACTGCAGTTTGAATTTGAACAACTCGTCCAAATGCAGCGTCAAAAAGATACGTTTTTCAGTTGCAGCAGACCTGCAGGATTCGGGCAGTTCGTTCCAGATGGTCGGGGCATAAAAACTAAACGCTGCTTCTCCATGTTTAGTTCTGACTCTTGTAGCAGAGTGCAGACCCGTCCCAGAAGACCTGAGACTCCTGGATGGTTCATATTTTTGCAGGAGATCGATAATATCATTTGGTCGTAAACCATTTAGGTGCTGTTTACACGGGAACGAAACGGGTTGAATCTGCTACTTTTCTCTTTCGTATAGCCCGTTCGTTCACACGAGGCCGGCCGTAACGGAACCGCGGAAACGGAACCCTCAAACGATAACAGGTCCCAAGGTGGATAGATCTGCGGACGGAACGCTCTGGGGGGCCAAACGGCTCCGTGTGTACGTCCTATACGATCATTTCCTGATAACGATGAAGCCATAGCCCCGCCTCTCCCCACCTCTGCTGCTCACTGCTGTAGCATGGTCAGTAGCTACTGCTACTGACCATGCTACAGCTCCTGCTACTGACCATCAGCTACAGCTACTGACCATGCTACAGCTCCTGCTACTGACCATCAGCTACAGCTACTGACCATGCTACAGCTCCTGCTACTGACCATGCTACAGCTCCTGCTACTGACCATCAGCTACAGCTACTGACCATGCTACAGCTACTGACCATGCTACAGCTACTGACCATCAGCTACTGACCATGCTACAGCTACTGCTACTGACCATCAGCTCCTGCTACTGACCATCAGCTACAGCTACTGACCATGCTACAGCTCCTGCTACTGACCATGCTACAGCTCCTGCTACTGACCATCAGCTACAGCTACTGACCATCAGCTACAGCTACTGACCATCAGCTACAGCTACTGACCATGCTACAGCTCCTGCTACTGACCATGCTACAGCTCCTGCTACTGACCATCAGCTACAGCTACTGACCATCAGCTACAGCTACTGACCATCAGCTACAGCTACTGACCATCAGCTACAGCTACTGACCATGCTACAGCTACTGACCATCAGCTACAGCTACTGACCATGCTACAGCTACTGACCATCAGCTACAGCTACTGACCATCAGCTACAGCTACTGACCATGCTACAGCTACTGCTACTGACCATCAGCTCCTGCTACTGACCATGCTACAGCTCCTGCTACTGACCATCAGCTACAGCTACTGACCATCAGCTACAGCTACTGACCATGCTACAGCTACTGACCATCAGCTACTGACCATCAGCTACAGCTACTGACCATCAGCTACAGCTACTGACCATCAGCTACAGCTACTGACCATCAGCTACAGCTACTGACCATGCTACAGCTACTGACCATCAGCTACAGCTACTGACCATGCTACAGCTACTGACCATCAGCTACAGCTACTGACCATCAGCTACAGCTACTGACCATCAGCTACAGCTACTGACCATCAGCTACAGCTACTGACCATGCTACAGCTACTGACCATCAGCTACAGCTACTGACCATCAGCTACAGCTACTGACCATCAGCTACAGCTACTGACCATCAGCTACAGCTACTGACCATCAGCTACAGCTACTGACCATCAGCTACAGCTACTGACCATGCTACAGCTACTGACCATGCTACAGCTACTGCTACTGACCATCAGCTACAGCTACTGACCATCAGCTACAGCTACTGACCATCAGCTACAGCTACTGACCATCAGCTACAGCTACTGACCATGCTACAGCTCCTGCTACTGACCATCAGCTACAGCTACTGACCATGCTACAGCTACTGCTACTGACCATCAGCTACAGCTACTGACCATCAGCTACAGCTACTGACCATCAGCTACAGCTACTGACCATGCTACAGCTACTGACCATGCTACAGCTACTGCTACTGACCATCAGCTCCTGCTACTGACCATGCTACAGATGTTAGTGCAAAATCTAAAGCTCCTCTACCAGCTCCTCTACCACAACCATCAGCAACAAGTGGACATGGAGAACTACATGAACTACATGTTGCTAAATCCACCGCGGAGAATAAACAGAAGGGCAGCCATGGCAACCATGCTCGGGGTCTTCTTTGCTGCTTTTGGTGTATTTTGTGGCGGAAGTACAGCGCCACTTACAGGCCCAGCATATGTACTACGGCGTCTCCAGCGGGTCGAGCGGTCTCGTGTGAAGGGACACGTTTATTGAGCTGTATCCGTGTGAACGGAATACTTTTTTGATATCGAATTCGGTTCATTTGCGTTCCCGTGTAAATGGGGCCTTAGTGCTTTAAAAACCAGCAATAGTACTTTAAAATCAATTCTTTGGTAGACAGGAAGCCAGTGTAAAGACTTCAGTACTGGACTGATGTGATCCGATGTAAATGTTAGCAATATATTTTGACCCCTCTTTGTTAGCCTCAATTTAAAATATTAAAAAACACTGATAATGTTTTAGGACTAAAATGTTGATCATTTTAACTCAACTGTTTGAATAAATATCACCTCCGTAAATGCAATGAATCCTGAGTGTTAGATAAACATCTGTACGTTTTGTTTATTTAACAGTGAAAATGCACATTAATAAACATTGATGTATGTATTGCAGGTTAAAAAAGGTTATTTTTCACCTGTAGTCCCTGTATGTTTGTTTTAAAAAATCATCCTAAAAACGTATTATAAAATATTTAAAAAAACATCACAATAGCAATTAAAAATATGAAAAAAAACATCCATTAAAAAGTATAATTGTTTGTGGTTATTTAAAGCATTCTCTCACCAGCGTGGGGTCGATGAAGCTGTGCGTGGCGGACCATGCCTGTGGCGTGATGAGGCTGTAGAGAGGGAACTGCTGCTGGGGGCTGTACACCGGGGGGATGTAGTACGACGTGTATCTCTGATGCTGCTGCTGCTGCTGTTGTTGTTGTTGCTGCTGCTGCTGCTGCTGCTGTTGTTGTTGTTGTTGTTGTTGCTGCTGGGCGTACGGGTTCACCTCCACCGGACGGTAACCGTTCTTTGGCATGAAAGTGTTGATAGCGATCGCCTTCGCCTTTATCCTCGCCTGGAGGGAAGAGACACAGAAACAGGGCGAGGGAATTAACACAATTTTTGTCTTTACTGTTTTAGCAGATAGACAATATATAAGACCGTACACAAACATCCACAAGACATAACAAAATGAAGTACATTACAAGTCACATAAATACAATCATCTCCAATTTGCTGATCCAGAGAACTCTCATGTTCCAGATAGTTACGGAAAGGGCCATACTTTTTTTAAATAGTTCTTGTTTTCCCTTACCCTGTTAAGCCCTGAGCCTGTTTATCAGGTCTCAGGCTCGAAAATGACATGCCCAGAACAAATGACTATAACTTCACTTCTAAAAGGGGTAAATTAATAATCTTTGTTCTCAAAGCAATGATAAACCTGTGAGTTGGATGTAGAAAAGTCAGAATCAATATAGATGTTTTTATTTTAAAGTAAATTCAGATTGAACATAGTAAAAAAAATGTCAATTATAGTGTCCGTCCAAAAAAACAAACATTACTTATAGTGAAAACCACCCTTGAATGATGGGATGGTAGACTAAAAGCTTTAGGAATCCAAACTATAACATATAATAAGTACCCTGTATCAAGATTGATGCAAAACAAGTGACATTTGACCTTTTTAGAGAGATTTAGCAAAAAAACTTCTGGGGTCATTTGGGTGCATTTTCCATATCTCTGGAACCCGTCGGTCGATTTTGATGATTGACACCTCTTTTTAACCGTTAGAGCCAATAGAATCGAGGGGGAGTTCCTAAATCCATCTAAACATTACCCATTGGTGAATGAGTGATGCGCAGCCAGCATGCCCAAAACCGGAAGCTGGGTTACGCTCTCATACACTCTATATGAAATCTCAGTTTAATGCCATAAATGTTATGATGGATTATCAGTAATCATTTCAAAGTGACACAGAGACATTGGATTAACCTTCAGCAGTGTTTATATGCATTGTAATGCCATTGAACACAACTTTTGATCAGAAAACAGCAAAGGTAAGACGTATTTGCCGTTTTGGCTCCGTAAAGTGAAGTTGTGTGTTGTTTGCCTTCGCTGCCTTAAGTTTTGGTCGCACAGTGATGAGACGTATACCATTGGAATCTGTGGATTCTCAGCTTGCATCTGATATCTTGTTTGTGCAGATCCGATGAAGTATAAAAGATCGCTACCGTGAGTTATGTGCCAAGTGCGTTAGCACTCTTTCGCTTAGTGCTAATTCAGACGCTTGGCGTTAGACTTGTGTTTTGTTTCGATAAAAATGGTTCATATCGTCAGTTAGCTGAGTTTCTTCCCGTTAAGTGGGTTAGACACATTAATAGGTTGCTAAATGTTAAGAAGCCCTTCGTGTGTGGCTGGTTAATTGAATAGGTTATTTTCTCTAATGAGACACATGCAGACAGTTATTTTAGCCATTTACCGATACTTGGACTGTTAACATTTCTCCATGAAAGTGCTATCATGCGTTTTGCCAGTAGCAGACTTAAATTTAGAAAGATTTGTTCTCTCTTCCTTATGTTCTGTTCTTTTGGGTAACACCCTAACAAAGGAAACTTGGGTCCCATGTTTAACTGCAATGACACGGAGGTATTTTACATTTATTTGAGTCTTCTGCACATCTGCACGTGCATCATGCAACTTCTAAGTGTTATACATAAGAGGAGTCAATCTAATAAATACAAAAAAGGATGTAATTAAAAAAATCCTTTCACAGATGCATTTACCAGAGTCAAGCGTATAAAGGTGGAGGTTTTAAATAAGCCCAGTGGGTTTTCTGCCTCTTCCTGCACTGTTTATCATTTGTTATGTTTGTGTATTTCTTAATTGCACAAAACAACAATATCATTTGTTATGCAACAACAAACAACTCACCTTAATAGGCTTCCCCTGGAAAGTCTTCACCTCCTCTCGGAGATACTGATATGCCTTAATTAGGAGAAAGAGAACAACACAATGTGAGCAACCAGTAGATTATTAATGCCACAAGAAACAGAAACAACTTAAATGCTAGAATAATCTTTAAGTATCATATTACTGAATGTACAATCACTCAAACAATATTGGAAAAAATGGTGAATTGCATTAGCTAGGAAAGAGTTTGATTGAAGAATAATAGGAGAAGGAGACCGAGAAGAAAAAGAAGAAGCAGAAAAAGAAACGGAAAGGACGGAGAAGAAGATGGAGAAGAAGATGGAGAAGAAGAAAAACAACAAGCATAAGAAGCAGAATCCTTATAAATCCCCAAGGGAAAATTCAGTTTTTCACTCTTTTTATATAAAAACATAGACAATCGTGACTTGAACCGGCGACTCTTTGGTTCCCAAGTCAAGTCCAAACAGACTGAGCTACTGCAATTTGCATTATCTGTCATTTCTTTTCTTGTGAAACAATAAAAAAAAAAGACTAATTTGAACCATGGGCTGTTGCTAACCACCGCCATAATTTAATACAGACATTTCTTTAAAAAAATCTATTAATGTCACCTTCTTCTCATGCTCCTAAACTAACAACGCAGGTGATATGGGGGGGGGGTGTGTGTGTGTGTGTGTGAACAGAAGAGTGAATAACTAAATACATAATTTTACCTGCTGTGCGTCTGCTTCCGATTCGAAGGTGATGAACCAGTTGTCGTTGTAGGCAAATTCACAGTTGATGAATTTGGGTAAGTTGTCTCCTTTAAAAAGAGCCTCGACCTCCTAGAGATCAGAACAAGAGATGAGGTTAAAGTGATTTCCATAACGACTCACTTTGAGAACCTGGAGCTAAACAATTAAAAAACGGAGTCATACAGTTTGACCCAAATCAGCTGGCGTTTAGTCAACATACGAAATCCTATTAATCCTTTTTCTGTGTGAGAGCAGACGATCCAATTAGTTTAATCTCAGGTGTTTTAAGGCCCTTTATTACAGGTATAACATGTACAGCATTTAGTTAAATATAACACAAAACTGAACAACATGCAATATGTAAACTGGACAAATGTATTACGAATGTTACTTGTAACTTGGAATAACTTTTTCATATTAATTTGGATATTATGTGCATGCTGTTTATCTAATAGTGTGTTAATAGTTGTCTCTATTTTGCCATAACTATGTAATGGCGCATTTCCACTGCAGGGCCTCGTCCGGCTTAGTACGGTATAGTTAGGCCTTGGTAGGCCAGGCTCACTTTATGCTGCGTTTCCATTACAGTCTAGGAACTGGGGTAGTAACTATAGTAACGCAGTGTAGGCGGAGCCGTGACGTCATCTTCAATGCGAACCACAGAAAAACAACATCAGCCGTTAGCACTCAGAGCTCACAGCTCCTCATATCTGTTCAGAAACTAAATCACGGTAATATGTTCATCTTGTTGTAGTTGCCAGCGTTTCTCTCACTAGTTTAGCACTCAGCCCGGTTGTTGGCCCGGAAAGAACCTCGATTTTGGAGAGCCAGAAAAACTGTGAAAAAGTACCCGCTAGCCGGAACTACGCCTAGTGGAAACGCAACCAAAAAAAGCGGCACGCTTAAACCGCGCTGTAGTGGAAATGCGCCATAAATGTCCCCCATGTAGGACGTATAAAGGTATTCTGATTCTGAAACCAAAACACTTATTTGGTGCTAAAACTAAAAATGCACAACCCAAAAATCCATATAACAGGTCAAGTAACCCCAGCATGTAGTTTATTTTCGCTGTGATGCTCAGTGATTTGTTTACAACAGGGGGGTCCAAAAGACGGCCAGATTTGATAATGTGAATAAGTCCGGGTTTTACCACGGATCGACCCAAAACAAATAAGGATATGTGTGTGTGAGTATGTGTGTGCCTGTATGTATGTATGTATGTGTATGTATGTATGTGTATGTGTATGTGTGTGTGTGTGTGTGTGTGTGTGTGTGTGTGTGTGTGGGCATGTGTGTGTGTATGTGTGTGTGCGTGTGGATTTTACAACACGGATGAACCCAAAACAAATGAAATACCCAAAATAAAAATACAGCGTCTTTCACAGAAAAAAGGGAAAAACAAATACCATCGGCTCACATGTGTAAGGCCCCGTGTGGTGAAAGGAGGAATTACATTTTAAAGTTCTGACAATGCTATCGGGCCATAAATAACACATAACACCGAAGCCTTTGGACTGGTTTACAAGAAGTTAAGATGTTTTTGATAAGTTTAAAATGTGAGCTGCTGATGACAGAAAACAATAATTTATAACAATGAACAGTTCATTTGGCTGACGTGTCGTGTATCAAGATATCTTAATGTGTGATTCCACCATAAAATCATTTTTAAAAAGACGTTCAATTATCATATTTAATTATCGCCAAGCACTAATTTGAATGTGGAGAAGTAATGCTCGTATTGAGGACAGTCGGTAAAAGTGTTTATGAATGAAGTAATATCTTTAAATAAGGACATGTTGTTGTTGTTGTTGCCACAGTATGATTTGAACACGATGAATAAAGTTCTGACCTCTATAGGAGTGCTCTCAGGAACTTCTCTGAGGATCACGATGCAGCGGTTCTGATTGGGCCGCACCTTCTCCCCCTTCTCATCCACTTGGACCAATGGCAGCGCTGCAAATGGGAAAATAAAGCATCAACACATTTACTGACTTTTACCCTTAAAATCCCGACTCTTCCGCCTTTTATAAAGTACATTTCTATTGAGTTGCTGTAACAAAATGTTTTCCCAATTTGGGATCAATAAACTACATCTAAAAATAATCTAAAAGTCAAACATTAAGCACTAATACATGAGGCCTAACAGCTGCTCAATGAAATATCTCATCTCGAGTTCATACAGTAAATCTTGACACTGAGCAGTAAATCAGAGTGCATCTATAAAGTGTGTGTGTGTGTGTGTGTGTGTGTGTGTGTGTGTGTGTGTGTGTGTGTGTGTGTGTGTGTGTGTGTGTGTGTGGGCGCGTGTGGGCACGTGTGTGGGCGCGTGTGTGGGCATGTGTGTGGGCATGTGTGTGTGGGTGTGTGTGTGTGTGGGCGTGTGTGTGTGCATGTGTGGGCGTGTGTGTGGGCATGTGTGTGTGTGTGTGTGTATGTGTGGGCGCGTGTGGGCGCGTGTGGGCGTGTGTGTGGGCGCGTGTGTGGGCATGTGTGTGTGGGTGTGTGGGCGTGTGTGTGCGCATGTGTGGGCGTGTGTGTGGGCATGTGTGTGTGTGTACGTGCGTGCGTGCGCTTGTGTGTGTGTGTGTGTGTGCGTGTGTGGGCATGTGTGTGTGTGTGTGTACACGTGCGTGGGCTTGTGTGTGTGTGCGTGTGTGTGCGTGCGTGTGTGCATGTGTGTGTGCGTGGGCTTGTGTGTGTGCGTGTGCATGTGTGTGTGTGCGTGTGAGTGTGTACGTGCATGCGTGCGAGTGTGTGTGTACGTGCGTGGGCTTGTGAGTGTGTGTGTGGGCATGTGTGTGTGTGTGTGTGCGTGTGTGTGTGGGCATGTGTGTGTGTGTGTGCGCGTGTGAGTGTGTGCGTAAATCGAACAAGCAGGTAAGACTTTAACATCCTCTCCTGGGAAATCACCCCGGTTCGATTGTCTCGACAGTTTCATAAGCAGGTAAACAAACATCCTTTAACTCAGGGGTGTCCAAACTTCTTTCACCGAGGGCCACGTACAGAAACATATAGGGAGGGCCACTTCAGGTGAGGCATATTGCCAAATAAGTTAAGTTAGAAGTCAGCAAAATCAATCAAATGTAGGTAAATGATACTTGAATATGCTTTAAGAAAAAACAGATCAGAGGAAATATAAAGGGTCTTTTTCAAGCTTGTTTTCTAAATACATTATTGGGCTTTTTTCTGATCAACTAAGATATGTTAGAAAATGTTTCCAACTTTAACTGACTGACTGTATTTGTAAAGTGGGCTTACTAACACATGAATACTGTGTAATATATTTTAGTATATAATATAAGACAAGCACAAGTTTAATTTCTGGACCATATTTCATTTTACTTTTTGAATTAGCTGAGGGCCGATTCAAAATGGCCGTAGTTTGGACATCCCTGCTTGAACTCCTGCTTCACTCCAACGATTAGAATAAGGAGTGAAATCACAAAGTGGCAGATCATTAGACTCACATCGTAAAATGTCCACGATCAGCTCCACGTCGGTGCTGAGCTTCTTCACGTGGTCCAGGTTCGCCACCGTCACGATTGGCACGTATTGATCGCTGTCCATCTGAGAGATGAGGTACATGTCACTGGCCAGATTCTCCCTGAGAGACAAAGGGGGAGGAAAAAGGGGGGAGTTAGAGCAGAGAGAATAATAATAATAATATATAGAAATGTATTTATTAGGATAAACCCCTTGAGATGCATCATCAAAAATCGACAAAAGCAACAAAATAACAGAAAGCAAAGCATGACAAACCACGTACAGTCTGTTAAGTAAAATTCATGAAGTAATACATACAACCATTACAATTTGATAGACAGTAGTACTAGGGCTGCAACAACGACTAATTTGATAATCGATTAATGAAACGATTAATCGACTATTCGGACTACCTTGCACAATTTCTCAAACGTTCTTATTTAGCCATCAACTTTTAGATGTAGCTTGAGGTTGTTTTAGGCATGTGGAAACTAACAATGAAGACAATAAAGATGAATACTTGATTCAAAAATACATATATTATTAAATTAACTAAACGTGAACAAAATGAACATTGCTTTTTATTTAATTTAAATAAATAATATTTCACATCAAAAGAAACAACAATGTTTGAACAAATTGTATTAAATAATCTGAAGACAGAACTGTAAACAGAATAGCTGAAACTTTAACAAACTAAATAACTCAGTTACCTCTAATCATTAACCCATGTTTGTATAATTAGTTAGCTCTGTGTGTTGCTGCTAGCATACATAACACCTGACGTGGAAACGTTACTCGTGGATGGGGCTACAGCGCTACTAGAAAGACAGTCGAACCCGGTGCATTTCTCCGTCTGGATGTGGAGCACTTTTGCTAAATGTTTAGACAAATTGCTCGTGTTACCGCCCTTACATGCAGGCGGCGGTAGTGTGTATTCGTCATTCAAAAGAGGCAACAACCGGAAGACAGACTGCGTCATATACCGAGAGAAGAAGAACAGACTGCGTGATATAAACAAATAGCGTGTGCGTTCCATTTTCACTCTACAGCGAGAAGCTCATGGGGCTTTCTCGAACCTGTGTCGAGAGCTGGAGTTAAATCTCAGATTTGTTTGGGTCCCTCACTTCCGTTTCGCTTCTCATGCACTGATTCGCTAAGCTGAACAGCCAATCAGAGTGATTTCTTTAGCCGACGGTCTTTTACTGACAGGTGGCGGAAGGTGTCGGCACGGCCGAAAAGACACGACGGGGCGGGACACACCAATCTGAGTAGGACGACACGACGCTCATCGACGGCCAGACATCTATCGACATCTATCGACGGCCGAAATCGTCTTGGTGTGTAAGGACCTTAACTCGTGATTTTCTCTACTCAGCAGCTGACTTTTAAGTAGAACAAAATTGATTAAAATGTATTTTGAAATACAAAACTCCGCAAGGCTCAGTGTGTCTGATCTAAAACTAATTATTAATACATAAAAGGCAGACGTTCAGACAGAGGCATCCTACAAGTGACACTAATGTAAACCATTTTCTATATTTTGTAAGTAATTACTGTTATCTCATTTTGCTTTTTCTTATGTACTTGTAGTTATTTTACTTAAAAAATAAAACCTGTTGTGCTTTTGGTTGTACATGTTGTACAAGAAAAAGTGTTATCCTTTGTGAGGCTTATTTCCTTCTTGTGTGATGGTGATGAATGTTGAAAAAGCCTTTTAACAAAGTGAGATGATGGGGAAGAAACCGTATCTCAGGAGGCGGTTTAAACCAGAGAGAGTTTTTCCACTTTGTCGTCCACACAAACCTCTCTTCTCCGGACTTTAATGGTCACTTAAGAGCGGCCATTTCTCTTACTGTGGTTCAGGTTAAGTGCCTTTCTTCCATTAACAAGCGTGAAACAGCAGCGAGGAATGTGGATGGATGAGGTCTGAGATCTCTAGCTCGTTGGGCCATTAAAAGGAAGTCCTGCACCATTTGAGGTTTAGCAGCTTTCTTTTTGTCACAAGGCTCACATCATTCCAGAGTTGTTGTTTTTTATTTTTATGGGGTGTTGACAAATGTAAGTGTCAATTACTTCTGTGTGTTTGATATTTTTAGTGTATTTTTTGTATGCCTTTTTAACCTGTATTTGTAAAGTGTCTTGGGTAGGGATGGGTATCGAGAACCGGAACTAAGTCAGTACCGGTACCTGATTGGACGGTATTGGTATACCGTTAAGCCGCTGGACAAACGGTGCTGCTATCGGTATATGAATTACGCTACTTCCTTAGTTTTAACAATTCTGGTTGGTTGGGAACCCTCATCCCGTGTGACGTATCCGGTTTGAGTACCACTCTGATTGGCCACTGTGAATGCCACTCCTGATCTCTCCTAACAGTGCTCTTATTATTGTGAGACTCCCGGGGGTAGACCATAGGGGCAGACGCAACATCTTGCTAGAAACAGCGTCTCAGGGCTTCTTAACATTTAACAACCTATTAATGATGCATACCCACTTAACGGGAAGAAACTCAGCCAACAGACGATATTAACCATTTTACCTACACGGAACAGAAGTCCAACACCAAGAGTCGAAATCAACACTTAGCAAAACGGTCTAACGGGGCTAACGGCTACTTTAGCACATAACTGGCAAAAGTGATCATTTTCTACGTCATTTTATCCACAGATTCCATTGGTATAAGTCTCATCACTGTACGACCAAAACTCACTGAACTAGCAGCCAGGAAAGAGCAAGAAAACAACTTCCCTTTACGTAGCCATGATGATAATTATGTCTTACCTTTGCTGTTTTGTGATCAAAAGTTGTGTTTAAGGGCATACAAACGGTTAATCTAATGTCTCTGTGTAACTTTAAAATGATTACTGAACATTTATTGAAAAACGAATCTGAACTTTTCGATCTGTTACGATTATAAACTGAAGCAATATAAAAATGACTCCCATTAACTGAGTTTTAAACATCAGCATATCCGGTCATAGTCCGGTAATTACCTGCCAACGGAAACTCTGCTACACAATTCTTATTATTGAAACATTACCGGTAAGTTTCAAATTTGTCCGGTAAAATAAATTATTTCCGGACATTTGAGATTTTCCAGCCTGAGTCTATTAAATGTATTGTTTTGGTTGTGTGTGATTTAATTAATTTTTCATAATTTAATGTATTTATTATATATAATTTATATATTTGAATATTAATTCACATTTCATTTGCAATGTTGAATGTTGAATAAAAAGTTAATTATTATATATAATCATTTTCAGGAAAATGTATCGTCCAACAAAATTAATTATCGTGACGGGCCTATTTGTATGCATGGCCCTTGTTTACATAAATACATCATATATGGTGATTTTCATTTATGAACTCACCTGGAAAGACAGAACTCCAGAGTCTTCTTCAGATGATCCCTCAGACCCTCCTGAGGATTCTCCGGCTGAGGATCACTTCCTGCCGACACACAAGGAGGAATATTTTTGGTTAATTAAGAGCAAATCAAGTTATTGCTGACCCTGGGACCAAAACATTAATCCAACTAGTCGGACGTAAAGCTGGAAAATGAATAAATGTAGAGCAGGATATTGGTCGGGAAGAGCATAAAGATAAAAGCACATTTTAAGGAATACTTGAAAGTACACTTTAGAGGGATTCCCCCCATCACAGCTAAAGGGCGTGGTTCGGCCCGACAGAGAGCGTTGATCGATTATTTGGCTATTTATTTACATTAATTTGTATGTTGCCGTTTATTGTGCAGCCACTGAAAAACTGTCCAGCATCAGTAGAATGGCTTACGTGGTTACTTGTATAGGTTAAGGTTGTACCAACACACGTTTAGGCACATTTGGGTAGGTTAAGGTTACTCAAAACGTGTATTCATCTAGGTCCAAGATTTGTAACCAAGAACTGCTTTTGTTAAAACGCCCTAATGCCAGATATTGGGTGCAGTGCTTGCAAAGTATGTACTGCACTAGTGGCTCACAGAGAGAAAATCTGCAGGGTGGAATAACTAGAAATAACAATAGAGGGATCTTAGTACTAGCCCTCTCTAAAAGCTTTATGGTGGTTGTTGTTGTTGTCTTCCTTTTTGGTAGAGAAATAAACGTCTCGTCACAGATAGTGTCTGGCACTGGCCAATTAAACTTTAATGCTGCGATAAATAAAACATGAAAAGAACAAACGTCTGTTAACCGAACGTCTCTAGTCAATACATTCTGCTGCTTGAGAAAGTAAAGATACTGTAGCATCTTTAAGCAGCGCTCAGAAACTGTGATTACTCATTAGCACTTATTGCATATTTGACCATTTCATTTTAAAGCCTGAAAACATTTTCCCGTTAAGAGTTTTCACATTGTATTCTCTCTTAAGACGAGACACTGGTCAATTTTGAGATTTTGTGCTATTTTGATTAAAAAAAACAAATGACCCTGACCATGAAATACCGTCACGGAGAGCGTCGAGGCGCACGCTGACAAACAGAGAACAGGAGGGTTTAGGTAACGCCTCACAGCAATCTTTAAAGGTTGTTTTCTCAAAATGAGTGAGAAATGTCCACTTCAGTAGCACGTACATACACCAAACCTGCCAGTTATATTCCTATCAATATTATGAAGGCTTTTAAAGAAGGGTTTGTTCATATATCATTCATAGCCTGAATTATATAACATTTTATACCTAAAAACATGGCGAAAATTGATATTTTAGGGCTGTTGACAGTATTTTCTGATGTATGGAGTGATAAAAAGAGATATCCAAAATCCCTTCTGTAAAAACTTTAGATTCTAATATGACTACCAAATGAAACAAGAATTTTGAACCTGGCTTCATCCAATGTTCAGATTTGTGTTCCTGAAATGTATTAAAATATGCGCATATTTAATGAGAGTATGGCTCATTTGCATATTTAAACATGCTATTTCAGAAAACGTGTAATACAAAAAACAATTGTCTTAATGTAAGTAATTAACTGGAGAAATGTCTAGCTGATATCTTTAAGTTAAAAAAATTCCCCTATTCCCCTGTAGTGTCTCGCCTTAACTCAAGCACCCGAATGCATACAAAATAAAGAACGAACATTATTTTAAAGCCGTTTACAATGTTCCCTTTGATACAAATGTACATTCTTTATTTAATTGTTATCCCCAGCACCTACACTTCATAATTCAGAAAGTGAATGTGTTGTTTGACTGTACATCTATACAATTGGTTTTCACTTTGTAATATAAAACAGGCTGAAAACAGTATTTTCTGTCATGTTTCGCATTAAACATGTATTTAGACGATGGCAATCATCGATTAACCAATAGTCTCCAGGCCTAACAGTCACATGGCCTCACTGGCCTCTGCCTGCTCTGACAAAACAGTCAATCAATAACCATCTCACCTGTGCGTCCTTGCTGCTCGGGGAACTCAGTGAACGCCTGAGGGGTCTCTGATCCGTCCGGGCTGACGGGGCTCGGCTCCGACAGCATCACTGGGACCGGAGGAGGAGGATCATCGGGGTCCGAGAGGAGCGGCTCCTTCAGGGCCTCTTCACTGGCTTCATAGCCTGGGAGAACACAAAGAAGAAGGGGAGGAAGTCAGCAGGGAATCCCTCTAAAACTTCAGCATTCATTTCTTAATAATGCAAATACAACACTGTATATTTAAGCAATAGCTCACGACAGGCCGTGGTATATGGTCATTATATCACAGCTAAGGGGTTCGGCCCGACAGAGAGCGTTGATCGATTATTTGGCTATTTATTTACATTAATTTGTATGTTGCCGTTTATTGTGCAGCCACTGAAAACCTGTCCAGCATCAGTAGAATGGCTTACGAGGTTACTTGAGGTTGTTCTAGGCTGTTGCTTGGCGTGGCGAGAATATTGCTCCACTTTCTCCGGTCCCCGAGATTCGGCTTCCAGTAGCTCTGGAGAGAGCTTTCGCACCTGTGGCCACTAACGGTCATCATGTCTCTGCTTTGTTTCAAGACCCGCATCAGAAAGCTTTTGAATGGGGGTACTTTCCCAGTTGGTCTACCTGCTCTTCACGGCTTTTTTCTCTGGAGATAGGCACTGCTCAATCCACTCCTCCATAGTAAGGCCACCCCGGAGGTCGAAGTTAACCATACATGTTTCCATCTTAAGCTTTGTTAGTTAGTTAGTTTCGTAACGGACGTAATGTAACAGCTATAACGGTTGGACGGAAACTATAATTTACATTTTTTTTTTACTATGTTCAATCTGAATTTACTTTAAAATAAAAACATCTATATTGATTCTGACTTTTCTACATCCAACTCACAGGTTTATCATTACTTTGAGGAAAAAGCTTATTAATTTAACCCTTTTAGAAGGGAAGATATAGTCATTTGTTCTGGGCCTGAGACCTGGAAAACAGGCTCGGGGCTCAACTGGTTAAGTTCTAAAATATAAAAAAACGGTATTTTCTTATCCAGCTAAAATGAGCGGACATATTTTATAGGATACAATCTGATAAAAACTTGTCTGCACTGACTTTCCAAAGAACAGAAAACTAGTATAAAAGGTTAAAGGAAACGTGTATAAGTACATGGATGGGTATCTTTCAGTTCAAATATCTGAATTAAATCCATAAATATCTCATAACGCTGAATAAAATATATAAATAAAACCCCGGTATTTCCTACAGATAACGCTATAGTAATAATAACTGTTTAAGGAAGAGGAACCAGCCTCTCTTAGTGCTAAAGAAAATAAGTTTCCTTCCTTAATATTAAAAGCAAAGTCTGTAGAGTTGAAAAAGTGTCACTTCATGACTGTGCAGACTATATTAAAACTCCCGTCCTATGCAACGGAGTTTTCTATAAACGTCCTCACAGACGAAGGAGATGAAAGAGTTCGAGGACGTCAATCAGAGTCCAATGAAGACTAATCAATAATTTCTGTTTCTCCACCACGTCCCTGTTGCCTCGGCGTTGGCTATACTCAGCCGGGAACATTAGAGTGAGTGATTACGCTCATTTGCGTGGAAGGGAACGGTGGCTGTGGTGGGAATATTCATGGCTTCGTGCTAAATTGAGTATGAATGATTTAAGAGGCGTTTCGGCACAGCGAGAGAAGTGACGAGAACAGACAAAGACGGGATGGAAAGCAAAATAGAAGGGGTTTGAGAGGTTTGTGTTTTTCTTTTCTTTTAAACAAGTCAATATTACAGTTTGCTATTGGGATTTGTATGACTGGTATAACATGACTCAACATGAGCATTTTAGAACTTCCTGTTTCCTCGTCTTGAATCTTTTTAATCGGTTTTTGGTTGGACGCCTGAAATAAGGTCTGTGGTTAACACAAGCTGTGGTGCAGGGAACAAGTATTTATGTTAGCTGAACAGGATGTAAAGGCTGCCTCGTCAAAATCCAATGTTATTTTTCCATTGGATTTAAAAAGAAATTATTGCAGAAAATAATCTAAAACGTTTATGATACTTACACGTTTTGTTCAACAGGATAATCTACACATATTAACACCACTTTATGACGTCACGTCACCACCGCTAAGCTAAAGGTGGCTAATGTTGGGCTATAAAGGAACTACAGCACGGTCACATGACTTCACGTCACCACCGCTAAGCTAAAGGCGGCTAATGTTGGGCTATAAAGGAACTACAGCACGGTCACATGACTTCACGTCACCACCGCTAAGCTAAAGGTGGCTAATGTTGGGCTATAAAGGAACTACAGCACGGTCACATGACTTCACGTCACCACCGCTAAGCTAAAGGCGGCTAATGTTGGGCTATAAAGGAACTACAGCACGGTCACATGACTTCACCACCGCTAAACTAAAGGCGGCTAATGTTGGGCTATAAAGGAACTACAGCATGGTCACATGACTTCACGTCACCACCGCTAAGCTAAAGGCGGCTAATGTTGGGCTATAAAGGAACTACAGCACGGTCACATGACTTCACGTCACCACCGCTAAGCTAAAGGTGGCTAATGTTGGGCTATAAAGGAACTACAGCACGGTCACATGACTTCACGTCACCACCGCTAAGCTAAAGGCGGCTAATGTTGGGCTATAAAGGAACTACAGCACGGTCACATGACTTCACCACCGCTAAGCTAAAGGCAGCTAATGTTGGGCTATAAAGGAACCACAGCACGGTTACATGACTTCACGTCACCACCGCTAAGCTAAAGGCGGCTAATGTTGGGCTATAAAGGAACTACAGCACGGTCACATGACTTCACGTCACCACCGCTAAGCTAAAGGCGGCTAATGTTGGGCTATAAAAGGAACTACAGCACGGTCACTTGACTTCACCACCGCTAAGCTAAAGGCGGCTAATGTTGGGCTATAAAAGGAACTACAGCACGGTCACATGACTTCACGTCACCACCGCTAAGCTAAAGGCGGCTAATGTTGGGCTATAAAGGAACTACAGCACGGTCACATGACTTCACGTCACCACCGCTAAGCTAAAGGCGGCTAATGTTGGGCTATAAAAGGAACTACAGCACGGTCACTTGACTTCACCACCGCTAAGCTAAAGGCGGCTAATGTTGGGCTATAAAAGGAACTACAGCACGTCACATGACTTCACGTCACCACCGCTAAGCTAAAGGAGGCTAATGTTGGGCGTGATGACGTTTATTAGTCTCATGTAGACACGTGTTAGAAACCACTTTAAAACCTTACATTTTTAGGTCTATAAAATGTTGCCTAACATATTACCCTCAAATAAGTACACCTGTTACTTTTGTACACGTACAAAAACTTCAGGCAGGATTTTTTTTTTTTTTTTTAAATTGGGCATAGCCCTTGAGTGGCTCAGTCTGTTGGGACTTGGTCTTGGACCAACCTCCTAGAGCGAAGTTCGCTGGTTCACGTCCCGATCGGACCAAAAATAGTGAGCTGGTAGCTGGAGAGATGCCATTAAGCAAGGCACCTAACCTCGAAACTGCTCACTTCTCCTATCTGCATGTGGTTGTGTGTGTGCATGTATATCCTCCCCTGTGTGTAATGTGTGTAAACACAACAGAGTGGGGAAGAAATGTCCCTGTAAGGGATTAATAAAGTATGTCTTCTTCTTCTTAGCTGTTATAAAGTTAGTGTCTTAACAGGGCCTTATTGGCAAATGCAGCCAATTTATATTTAGTTTAATTTGCTAAAACAGCCAAAAATCTGACACTTCGTATAGAAGTCTGAAACGGACCTTCTGGTCCGGGGTCGGCTGAACTCTCGCAGCCCTCCTCCTCCTTCCATGTCTGCAGGGCAGCGGTCGTGGTGTCGGCGCTCCCGCTGGGGTCCAGGCTAAACATGTGGTTGGCCCATGCTTTCGCATTGGGGTTGAGGTCTGAAACCTTGGGGGATTCCTGCAAACACAACACACCGTTTGGGTCAGAAAGGTCCATTTTAGGAGAGGCAAATCTGCACAGTGAGAGTTTAGAAGGAAAGACAAATATTTACCGACTCAACGTACTTTTTTTCTACTCATGATAGACTGTTTTATGTATATTTGTATTGTGTACAGGTAATTATCACAAACTCGACTACAGAATGAAATGTGAAACTTTGAGAAAAGAGGCAAAGACACAGATACAGAAACAACATTGGTGTGACTGAATGAAGTATTACAAATCTGACATGAAACTGGAGCTTCATGACTGTAAAAACATTGTTTATTACAATTTGCCAGTAAGAACGAAGTGAAACTGAAAATTTAAATGTACTTTCCAAGTCATTTCAACTCATTGTACTTTTTTTTCAACTCATGGTACTGTTTTATGTACTATGTATTGCGTACAGGTAATTATCACAAACTAGACTACAGAATAAAATGTGAAACTTTGAGAAAAGCTAGAGCAACAAGGCAAAGTGCACAGATACAGAAACAACATTATTGTGACTGAATGAAGTATTAAATGCTTTTAAGTTATTTAAAACCCGACGTGATACTGGGTTCCTCATGACTATAAAAACATTGTTATGGTACATCTCAAGTTAAACTGCAGTTCATTACAATTTACCAGTGAGAACGAAGTGAAACTAAACATTAAAATGTACTTTCCAAGTCATTTCCCCTTTGCTCAGCTGTCACACACAGAAGAAATATGACTTTAATTTGAACACAATCTGTGACCAAGTCATAAATGTTCTGTTTATCAGTCAGTGTTTTAAATCACTTGTATTACTCTTTAAAAACTGAGCATTGCTTCCAGTAAATAAGGAGGGTTTTTATCCAGGTACGCTGACTGGTACTCCCGTATTATGCCAATAGATAAGAAGACTTTTAAGTGAGTTTGACTGATAATTTATAGGTTTATTTAAAAGGGAAAGTGAGCATTAATAAACAAAGCTGTAGTCACTGGACTGATGATTAAAATTCAACATAAAAACTAAATATTGGATTCAAATTGCAATGTTTTTCGATAGATGGATAGATGGGTAGATGGGTAGATGGGTAGATGGGTAGATGGGTAGATGGGTAGATATTGAAAGCAATGATGTAGTGTTTGTGGGTGAAGGTGTTATATTATACAACAATTGCAACTAATAGGATAACAACACAGTTAGAGAAAACCTCCCCCAGGTCAAAAATAAGAACTCTAATTAAATGTCCTGCTTCGAGCAACATAAATCTTTCCATCTCATCAATCATGTCTCCTCATCTACTAAAAAAAAAAAGCTTCCTCACACCAGCAGCATCTGCTTCAAACAGCAGGGATGCAAACAGAGCCGTAAATCCTGCAGATACTCACAGGATCAAAGCTACAGTGGAGCATGCACGTCTCAAAAGATAACAGACTGTAACCCAGAGCTGTGGTCAGAGCGAGTGTTTCATTGAAGTCCTGAAGCCAGGCGCTTTCAGACGGAGGAGAAATGAGGCTCCACTGCATCCAATCCATGATTAAAACACTTTAAAACTAAAGTATCTCCACAGGCACTCCCAATATCTGCCTTCAAGACAGCCTCCAGGGCATCAAAACACCCTCGTCATATCACATCGCCACGCTGCGTTTCTCTGATTCGAGCTGCTGGGGTTGATTCAGCAATAATGTGATGACAGACAGGGCTGACGTAGCAGACGCTGATTGGCTGCCTGTCGCTCCCAGACTCTGTTTTGTGTTGTCGCTGTTGCACTGAGTCATTCTGAGGGAGAAAACACTGAGCAGGGGAGGGATGGGTTGCACACCTGAGCTCAAACGCAGCTAAAGGCAACCCCGAGGCATCGCTCAAATTAAAATGAGCCCTCTTGAGCTAATCATTAATAGACTGTTCTGCTAACGAGTTACTGAGGCAAAAGGATACATTGAAGTGAAGTGCAATATAGAATTAGATTGGTTTCTTTAAAATTGGGTTATGTTGCTCCTTTTTAGAATGCAATGACATTTAATTATTTAAACAAATATGGATATAAATATAGGATAACAAGGTAAAGAAAGAATGTGCAAAAAATGCTAAATATAAAATAAAAATGCTCATAAAAAGGTAAGTGTCGCATAGAATATAATATTTACACAAGCATGAGTTTAAGTATGTGCAATAAATAATAAAATAAAATCATCTACATTAATATTAGGTTAAAGTAAGAATGTGCAATAAAAGATACAAATGTATTAGAAAATGTATATTAGCATAAGCAAAACAATAATAATATAGAATACAAATATTTATACAAACATAAGAAAGTCAATTAAGAAAGTGCAACAAAAGATCAAATAAAATAAAACTGTAGATTAATAAATATAAACATTAAGTGGTTTATTTTAAAGGTCCCATGTCATGGCCATTTCTACTGATCATAATTCCATTGTTGAGGTCTACTAGAATAGATTTACATTGTTCAATGTTCCAAACTCACATTGGTTTCTCATACAGCATCATAGCATGTGTATTCACTCTCTGTCCTATACGGCTTGTTGGAGCTCCGGCCCCCCCCCCCTCCCTGTGAGCCCAGTGTGCTCTGATTGGTCGGGACGTTGCGAGGCTCGCTGCTCAGTGATCTGGCTTACTGGTGTGGTTTACGTGTCGGCGATACAGCGGGACAGCGCGAAACTCATCCTGAGCACACACAAACACTCACAGCCGAAGTAAAAACAATAAGTGTGGCTTGATATTGAGTAAGAAAAAGGTTTATAAACGCTGTGAGAATGGGTCTGCGGAGAGCATTTCTCCTCCATCCCAACTCGTCTATTACCAGCGTTCAGGGCAGAGTTCCCGTGAGAATATTTTTTTGCCGGTCAACATGTCCGTTAAAGTTGAAATCTTCCGGACAAAATGAGAAAAGTGTCGGTCAAAGGTCTTCTTTGTTATTTATTGAGCTTTAAAACAAATTGATATGATTCGATATTAAACAGACTAATTCTAGTAGATTAACTACATTATTCAAAAGTGTACAGTAATTTACAAAAACGCGGGAATAATAAACGGAGCGCTCTCTCCCTCTCCTGACAGCCCGTCAGTCTCATGCAGCTCGCGGATCCACTAATGAGTGACCCGACAGTAAAACTAAACATATCTAACTAGTTTAGGTAGTTTGAGAGGTAATTCAAATAGCTACGTGTGATTTTCTAACCTGAAGTGTGTGTTTTGCTCCGCTCACCGCTGCATGTGATCATGCATGAGCTGCGTGTCGACTCGTCAGCAGCAGCCGATCTCTCTCTCCCGTCAGATTAGACTTTACTCGCGTTTATGTCCATATCGATCAGATCTAGCTAGTTCTAGCTAATGATATGACTACCTGCTTATTAAAAGACACCTAAACAATAAGCATCGCTATGCAACCGGGTGAGGCCACAAAGTATAGCGCAGCATTATGCATTTGTTTACATGCCCACCGGAACCCTGAGGCATTACCAACAGATCAACACACAATCAACCCATACAGGACATCTCTTTCTCCACATTAAGTGTTAGACATTAGAATTGACTCTTTTTGTCTGTCACATACTCTTTTGTCTGTCACATACTATTCTTGTCTGTCACATAAGTGGCACAACTGATGCGGATTGCGCTAAGGGAAAATTATTTTGACCGGACATTTTGACCGGAGAGATTTAGATTTGCCGGTCTTCAGCATATTTTACCGGTCATAGTCCGGTAATTACCGGCTAACGGGAACTCTGGTCCAGGGAGCTCTATGCAAGTCAATGGGACTGCCTGTTAGTTGAAAATGTACGCTAAAGGTCCTGGTGTGTGAGGAGCTCCGCGGATTGGTCCATTTTGTTTCCGGGAAGAAACAAATGGAAAAAGAGAAATCTCCAACGAGGCGTTCTGGGGCAGCATAGACAGGTCTTCTCTGTGTTAGAGTTTTACTCGCTACAGGGTGTACTTTGAGGGTTTGTGACTCTGCAGACCGTTTACATGCATACAAACCTTCATAACACACAAGGGGACAGGTAATAACCAGAAAAGCATGACATGGGACCTTTAAAGTTAAAAAGCCCAACAATTACAAGAAAATTGAATAAAATAATGCTGAGAGTTTTAAAAGAGTCTGCGTCTAAAAGTAAAAGGCGTATAAATGAAAGGAAAGATAATAAAGCAGATGAGACTGACACGAGAGGAGCAGCATGAGACGTTGTGCCGGGTCGTATTTCACCAGCGCTGCTCTGAGAGACATACAGACCATAATAATCCAGACGGTCACTAATGAAAAACTCCCACTCCTGTCCCAGCCGGTCGCCATAGAAACGGTTTCTGACATCACCGGATGTTGACGTCCAATAAAATGGGCATCGCTTGACCTTTCAAAAATAAAAATGTTCCCTTCGCTCACAGGGGAGGAAGAGGAGGAAGAGGAAGAGGAGAAGGAGGAAGAGGGGGAGGAAGAGGAGGAGGAGGAAGAGGGTTAGCGACTCCTCTGATTGGGCGTAGTTTCTTTTCTTTGGGAGGGGTGTTGTGATTCGACAGAGACGAGTTGTTGTCGTGTCATCGTCTGGGTTTATGATCTGTCTGTCTGATGGAGGAGGGCTCAGAGCAGACAGACAGATGCCTTCAGGGGAGACAACAAAAACAGCTGCGTGGGACAAATGTGTCCGTCTGCAGACCTGAGGCTCGTCTCCTCTGAGGGACATTGAATGCATCATAACTAAAAGATATTCTGGCCTAAATGTAGCTTTTTTGTTTATCAATTATAAACAACTTGCTGGAATTGCTAACTCATTAGCCATAGCATCAACTGCAAACATTTGAGCGTTAACCGTTCGAAAACCAACGGCCGTTTTTAATAGTTGGTATAGTAGGAAAGCATGTTAGCTTTGTGGCGTCGGAATGTTTTTTCTGTAGCCCCGGACAATTCTCCCTCATTAATATAATACATTAACCGTGCTTTACCTGAACCTCATCATGACACTAGAGAGGACGGCAGGAG